TGTCGAAGCCTTATGCTCCACTCAGAACCAAATGAAATAATAATAGGTAATAATTTTGACCTGAATACTGCAATTCACTTGGAGTATCTATTAAGTATGCTATAATCTTGTTACTTGTAGGGAATGCGTTTCCTTTACACATCGATTATCTGATCTTAGTTAGCTAAATGGAACAGTTTGAAACTCTAGTGATTTGACGATCACACTGCTCACCCAATTAGCCAACTTTTGACAAGTCATAGCATTAACTAACCAACTATTTGGTCTACTGTGTATTAAACACTGATCAGCATAGGTTCAAATTTAAGTTAGGAAACGGACTTTTCGAGAACCTCTAGCTAACTCCGAAAATGTTACCTAGAAGGACTAAGGAAAATTAGCGGTTCAGTTAAGCCATCTGGAATTGATAGTGTTCTCTGAGCTCCTTGGTTTAATTGCGGAGCTTTCATCGTCTTTCTGGACGACATCTTCAGCGCAGTATTTAGGATAAAGTGAAATGATTTAAATTTCTTCATGAGTCTCCCGGTAACCATCTTTAGATATTTATTGACCGTTTCTATTCAACAGAATTCCACAAATCGAAATCACTCATCTGTACTTCAGAACTCCTTCAGTATTTCAAGTTTAAAGTATATTTGGCTTGAAAGACAACTATGAGTACATGGCTGATTTTATTGAATTTGATATTTTCCCGTCGATTAATTGGACCGAAGTGTTCGGTCTCAGGTTGACATGTCAGCTTCTTGTGCAGATGCTTCGACGATGTCTGGGCATTTAGTTAGTATTTAATTGGTGGATGGTGGGAACATCATCACTCACTGAGAAATGCAGGTACATCTAGATGACGAGTCCCAAATAGGACGAAATGCGCATCCTTGATTCCAATGCTAGTCACCATCCACAAATTAAATACATGGCTGATTGTTTATAATTATTATTATTATTCCTTTGAGTTCTGACTGAAACTTGGGGCTTCAGCAACACGTCTTCATTTCGTTCTGTTTTCTGCTATGCTCATCAACTGGGTACACGATTGACCAAACTCTCTCATCTCTTTCTCACACGATCTCCTCCATGTCACCACAGGACGACTCACTCGTCGCTTGCCAGCTGGATTCCACTCAAGCAGCGGCCTGTGTTGAGTGTGATGTCATTCGATAGCCTCCTCAGCTTATGCCTAATCTACCTGCATTTTCTCTTACATATTTGTTGAGCAATCAGCTCTTCGTTGGTTTATTCTAACAGTACTGCCGATGATTCCCAAACTAGGATGAAATAGCAGCTGTCCAGTACTCCAGTGCTGGTTTTCACTGGTTCTCTAACTGATATCAATCCGTGATCAACTCGTAAAAACAATAACAAACCCTTACAAACCAAACCATAGAAAATACAATTAGTAAGGTTTTGGTGGAGTTACGCGACACAAAAATCGTTCAAAGGAATTGGATGTTGATATAAGAGGATAGTAACAAAACTGATGAGTTGTCACAAACAATTGCTAAAGAAGAGTTGCATAATAGCACGAATAGTTTGATGATAGATAAAGCTGTGCTCAGGCTGTACATGGAAACAAAATAAAATACGGAATTACATAAGAGATTTAAGCAGTTAGAAAAATAAGCACTCAAGCAAACGTTAAGTCAAATAAACAGAGTTGTTACCGTGACAGTAGAAGTGGTTGAATGATTTTCTGTTGTATGCATAATTCTGGTTCTTCCAGCTGGATGACTAGAGCTTATGCAATGCAAAGAGGACGGAAACGTATTGTCTTTGACAGGTTGTTCTTCACTTTGTAGATTACTTCGAAGGAAGCGTTTGCTGAGATGGAAAGACTAGTGTTGACGAGATTTTCGATTATTGTACTGCTTAAACGAAAACTACTTCCTTTCTACAGCCACACTTGATAGTTTTGTTCGGCCCTTTTTAGCAGGATGCGCGTCAAACGACTGATGTACCTGGCTTGACAGCAACAGGTGAACTGATATATAAATATAAAAGTGGTCAGGGTTGATATTTTCACCACTACTTAATCAGATAGCAGAATGTTTTTAACAAACGTGTTAAATCATTTCTCTATGCATTCAATGAACAATGAATCCAGCAGATTGATTCATATATCGTGTTGTCGACTCCACAGATATTCAAGCCTTTCGATACAGATGAAACTTAGTTGAAAACAACAGGGGGCTACATTTGAACTCATTTTTTAATTCAATATTTAACTGTAAACTTGATTTGTGAAGTGTATCCTTGAAAATTATTATTTTGACCGAGAATTGCTTTAAGGGGATTAATCAAATAGATGTATGCAGGATCATTGACAGTCAATGGACACTGGCGATCTGTTTTTTATAGGAATTGGAAACATTTATTTCCGGAAACGAATTCAAGACAAGCAACAAAAGTTAATAAAGCAGGATTTAGTGTATTCGTCAAATTTCAGCAGAACTCTTCAGCTGAATACTCTACATACAGGGATATATATATATAGTACTGAAATTACATTGGAAGATACATAACTTATAAGTTAATCAACCAACTGAATCGTTCTTGCGAAGCGGCTGGTATGAATTTTCTCAGGTTATATTCAAACAGATAAAGGGGAAGGAGTTTAAGGGATTAAAATAAATAACTCCATTATGGATAAGATTTTATTTTGATAAGTCACACATTGCTACATAATTGCCGAACTTTTTTCTAAATCACTTATCTTCTTGGGGTCTACCATTGCACTATATGTATTAACACACAACCACATAATAGGGTGGGTAAGGGTTATGATTCTAAGAAGTAATCTATGTAGGTGGAGAGAGACATGGTTGATTACTGAATCCTGGTTCATCGAGTCGTTACCCAACACATGCAACAGTAATGACTCACTGCAATTACCAGAGATATGGAAGATATTACCACCAGTCAATCAAATCAGAAGAGGATAATAAATAATCTCAAAATTCTATGTCAATTCAAGCACATCACAACATTCTAACAAGTTTCTTATTTGATTATAAAAACACTCGTCTTATTTCCCATCTGATTGTAATTGATCAATAACACTCATATTATTGTCATTTCTGAATGTACGTTATCCCATATTGATTTTTATTCAAATATCTAATCGATTGCACACATGTATATAAATGAAGTGAAAAGTTGTGTGAGTAGTTCTTTGATATGATTATGAGTGGCAATTGCTTGTGCTCGAAACTTGGTCATCAGTTAATATTACTGTATAACAACACTGTGTGACACTTTATCAAAATAAAATCTTATCCGTCATGGAATTATACTCTACCACAGTGCCCAAGTTTTATACTTATATCACTAATATTAATACTTATTGTACAAGTCTCCGTAATCTCAAGCATCTTCCTGTTTCAATTTAACAGTTTGCGATGTATACAATTTTAGGGGTGTAGTTTTTACCACAGCCTTCTTTGGAAACCAAATTATTCAGATCACAATATGTGATCAGTTAGATACCATTACGGGTAGTCAGTAAATTAAGCAAATTCGCATAACACTACATACTACTGACCGGTTGAGATGAGTAGTTGTATACCGACCATATCAACCAGCAGTACTTACCAGCCAGGTCAGCAGTATGTAGCTATATGCTTACTTCTTGCTTACTGTTTGTGGTATCAAACAGATGAAAGTATTTTATGCAGATAATTTGGTTCGAAAGGAAAATCTGGTGAAAGTTTCACCTATCGAACTGTTTACATGGGAAAAACTAACCAATTTGCGCATCCTGGATTCCATTGCTGCCCACCATCCACCAATTAATTACTAATTAAATACCCAGACATCGTCGAAGCATCTGCACAAGAAGCCGACATGTTAATCTGAACCAAGCACTTCGGTCCAATCAATCGAACTCAATTCAAGTTCAACTAAATAATCATTATGACCTGTTGCACAAGAGGTGGATCTCGTGGCCCAACTGGTCTAGTGGATAACTTTTGGCGTTTGAAACATGGGCACTGGGTTGAGCGTCGGTGGGAACATCATCACTCACTGACTGGGAAATGCAGGTACATCCAGTTGACGAGTCCCAAATAGGACGAAATGAGCATCCTGGATTCCATTGCTTATTACCATCCACCAATTAAATTCAATTTGCAAATTGTTAATTTCATTTGTGGCATGACCAGTTCTACCAAGCAGCTAATCAGAAATCAGATCGCGCAAACTGATTCCTTCTCTGGGCTAGGTCACACAGAGTGCACTGATAATGAGTTTGGCTCCAAACTAACAAAATGGCCATCCCATGTATGGATCACCTAGATTTGGCTAACAAGCATTACTGCTTGATATGAGTGGTATACGCCTAATTATATCAATTCATCATTGGCATATTGTTTTGTACATCTTATTCGTTTGTCTGCTGACAACAGTGAATGACTCGACAGAGTCAATATCATGTCAATGGTCTGCAACATACTTTGTTACTGAAATATTTGGTACTTCGACTTCTGTTGCTTTCAACCGCTTTTGCGAAAGCTTCATCATGGTATCAGATAGTCACCTTTCTGTGCGTCCTTCGAATTTGTTTCTACAAACACACTCATATTGATTTAATCAGTTTGAAGTGTCAAGGATTGGTGACCAGTCTTCGCTTAACAAAGACTAGATATAGTTATCAGGATATCTTGATATGCTGCAGAATATGTGTACCTTTACACCACAAAGCAAGTGTTTCGAAAATCTTGGAAAAGTTGGTTCTACTTCCAGCCGACGCATTCTTGACACCTCACTTAGTTTACAAGGCGATAATAAGTCTAGGAAAGGAAGGACGCCACCAACACCACGGTATCTGCAGTCTAAAGAGTGAAACCCTATTTCCAACTGGCAAGAGAAATGAATGAAAATAGATGATTCCTTGTAGTAAAAAGGTATTGTTTTTAGATGATTTCATATGAATTCACTGTAAATCAATTTGTTTTCTTCATCTCACCGTCGTACAAAACCTCTCCATCTCTTCTTTCTAAATACAGATGTGATACTCCTTATTTAATCAAAATATTCAACTATCGAATCCAGTCTACTTCTATAAATCAACCAACATTTTCTAAGAATTATTTATTCCCAAGAATCAATCATAAATCTAATGAAAAATTCAATAATAATAATCATAATCAATTTATGAATGGATTAAAATCAGAGGAACAAATAACTATCTGTTTAGGATCAACACTGGATATTGATTTAAACAGAGCTATTTACATGTCTGGTTATATACCACGCATGAATATATTACTCTATAGGATTAATTATACTAATGTTGGACAGTATAGTCGACCAATCACAAGGCCCGCCTACTCACCGCCATCCACATCATCATCATTATCGTCGCTGTCAGCATCACACTTATCCACCCACAGTTAAAATCTCCTTCAATGTTCAACAAATACTCATTTATAACATATGACATTGAATATAGATTTGTATATGGTGAGTTTGAATTTGAATTATTGCGTTAACTTGTTGCTGCTGATTATTATTATATTATTATAATTATTATTTCCTTTAATTCCTAGAGGAACATAGGGCTTCAGCTGCACGTCTCCATTGCGTTCTGCTCTCCGCTGAAGTTTTCACCTGGCTCCCAGTCTGCCCACATGCTTTCATCTCCTCTTCATATTACCTCATCCAAGTCACCCTCGCACTGACGACCAACTCGCCGCTTCCCGTTCGGGTTCCACTCGAGCAATAGCTTGTCTAGTGATGTCACTTGATGGTTTTCTTAGAGTATGACCAGTCCCCCTCCACTTCTTCCTGCTTATTAGTCGCACAATCGGTTCCTGGTCAGTTCGCTCCCAGAGGTCCCTGTTTCTGATCATTTCTGGTCTGCCATCTGATCTTGAGAAGTATTGAGCAAAGACAGCTGTTGATGAATGTCTGTAGTTTGTTCGAAGTGGCCCTCGTGACGCGCCAAGTCTCTGATCCTTATAGTAGCACTGACTGACTTCACATTGGGGTTGAAAATCCGGATCATATTTTTGATGGTGAGTTCTGTCGACCTCCACACAGACTTGAGAGTACTGAAAGTTTGTCTTGCCTTCCCGATCGTTGCTTTGATATCCTCATCAGTTCCTTCGGCCTGTAGTTAAAACGATGCTTCTCAGGTAGGCAAATGAGGTTGTTTCATTCAGGTTCCTCCCATTTATGCTGATTGTTGTCTGTTGTGGTCTGTTGTTACTGATAATATCATTAATATTAGATCGAGAAATTATGGTTACATTTTCAATTGTCCACCAAGTGATTAAATATATTCTGAACGATTTTAGTGTTTGAATTGATGTACTGCTAGACATCACCAACTAAGTTGTCTACAAGATTTCAACTTCCTGAAATCTGGTGGCCTGCCTAGTTCAATGGGCTAGTTAGTTTCTAATCAATGCATAAACTCTTCTCCATTTTTTATTGTATTAATCGTCTAACTGTGTTTTGGATTGCTGCATAAACTAGCATGCAGTTTTAGTTTGCAGTAATGCAGAACACGTCTCAACAGAAATGAGGAAAAAATATCGTAGAGGTTTGGATGGTGCTTCAGATGGAGCAGTACACCATTATACGATGTAGTGCCGAATACCATTTCATTTGAAGATCTTAGTATCTCAAGGACCTTTATGTAGCTCAGACTAACAGTCATAGATTTCAAGAATTGATTCCATGTCTTAGTATGATCACTTCTTACTCTTTTTTAAACCATATCCGATGTCAACCAGAACTGCTTGACATGCAAGGCGTAACGCATATCCCAGTTATCTCAATCGACGCGGCTTTATAGCCCCACCGATTGACTTTCTCTTCTTACCTGACACTTCATACATTCGTCATCGCAAAACTCCTGCACCATTGCAAAGGTCGTCTTCACTTGTGTTTCTACTATGCGTGAACAAGTCATCCTATTACTAGAGATCACCTTTAATTATCGAAATGTTTAGTATTAAGTCGAATCATCCAGAAGCCTCACTCATCAACAACTCATCTAGGCCACCATCAGAGATTCGAAATCCGAAATTCCAAAATTAAAATACCACAATGGTAACTGACTTCTGCACGGCTAAATTATAAACACAAGTTGACTAAAGTATACACCAAGCAGTGAGGCTTTTCATAAATGGATACCATTATTGGTAAAGTCATAGTAGAATGGAGTAAACCCTGCGTGCATAACACTAAGTATGGTGCAACACAATATTCTATCCTCTTTTGAACACTCGGTTAACGAAATTCAATTAGCCCCAAAAAAGGTAATCGATATTTTAGCTGAATAGATTAATAGTAATACCTGTAACTGCAGCTTTGAGTGATTCTAGAACCATTAATGTGTTCTAAGGTACACTTACGTCTTTCCTATGAGTATTGACTAGTAAGAAACTTAAGTCGAGAGCTTTCTGTCGATTGTCTTCAGCTGTTTGACATCACTATGAAGTCTGTGTCCAAAATTCCTTGTTAACCAACCTTAAGCAGTGAATTTTCGTATAAGTTGTCCTAATATCCATCTCTAGGAAGCGGATCATTAATTCGTCAGGAGGATTGGAACACGGGGGCATTCAGTGAGTCTTTTGGATTGGACACTAGTAACCAGTGTAACATGTCTAGTCCTTCCTTTGATGCAGACTGAATTCTATCAGTCAGGTTTGCAATGTGGCCACCATTCTAGGTAGCTCGCCATCACGGTGCACATTGATTTGAAGATACTAGATAGTTGGAGGCAATCGGCCACAGGAAGCCTTGGACCTAGGTTTTGTGCTAGTTGGCACTCATCAGCAAGGCTTATCTGCAACCCTGAAGGAACTCATATCCCTTCTAAGATTCGAACCCGCATCACCAAGTGCTGACGTCAGAGATGTTACCACTGATCTATTCGGGCTCGCAATTGACCTTATGTAGGACCATTGTGGGTATTTTAATTGGACACAAGTAGCTAGTGGGAACTGTCAAGTTCTTTCTTCAAGGTTGTAGATAAGCTTTGCTGATGAGTGCCAACTAGCACAAAACCTAGGTCCAAGGCTTCCTGTGGCCGATTGCCTCCAACTATCTAGTATCTTCAAATCAATGTGCACCGTGATGGCGAGCTACCTAGAATGGTGGCCACATTGCAAACCTGACTGATAGAATTCAGTCTGCATCAAAGGAAGGACTAGACATGTTACACTGGTTACTAGTGTCCAATCCAAAAGGACTCACTGAATGCCCCGTGTTCCAATCCTCCCGACGAATTAATGGTCCGCTTCCTAGAGATGCATAATAGGACAACTTATACGAAAATTCACTGCTTAAGGTTGGTTAACAAGGAATTTTGGACACAGACTTCATAGTGATGTCAAACAGCTGAAGACAATCGACAGAAAGCTCTCGACTTAAGTTTCTGACTGGTCAATACTCATAGGAAAGACGTAAGTGTACCTTAGGATACATTAATGGTTCTATAATCACTCAAAGCTACAGTCACAGGTATTACTATTAGGCTATTCGGGCGGGGATATGTCATGTTGACTTTATTGATAAGTTTAAAACTTATAGCGATAACATCCTCACAATTGTCTCTAATCTTCCTATATCAACTTAAAGTGTACCTCGATAATGATTTACTTGGAGTGGTGACGTCGTCGCAAGCATAGATAATGGAGTGAACTTAGCACCAAGAACATGACAAGATGATAGTGCTTCCTTCTTTCAAATTAGTTGAAATGTTCCACACTCTTATAATCAATCATTCACAGTATAATCGGGTAAGACTGATGAAAAAAAATTAATCATTAACCCTTTTAGGCATCTTTTAAGCAATCTGTAATCCTCATGTGATTTCTGTCCAAATACGCCTGGTTAATTCACTTAGCAAAATGTAAAATGGTTTAGGCAATATATTTATTCAAGTTGACTAACTCCGGTTTCCACTTCACTTGAAATAATTTCTAAGTTAGTGCTTAGTTCGCATGAAATCTGCCAGGGTTGATAAAGTCGTATAATTTAGTCAGTGTGTTGAACAAAATGAGAATTATGTGTATATATATGCAACTCTAACACTAATCAGTTATAAGAGAATAGTGAACATAAATATTAGTCGATATGAAGTGAGGTAACTCACAACGATTAGTTCGTAGTATGTTTTATTATCTTTCTTTTTTCAAATATCATGTACTCACCTATTCTTTGTTGCTATAATTGTTCAAAAGATTTCAAGAAATAGCTGGAACTTTAATTCGCCGTTTACGATACTGACTGATGTAAATGGCATCGTACAAACTACACACATACTACTAGCCAATTAGTAACTAACTTTGTCAAGTATGCGGATGATCTGACTGTATCACTGCCTATCACTTCCGAGTCTGACTGCTCCAAACATAATACCTTTCTGTTGGACATCACCAAGTGATCTAAGTCAAATGGTCTTATGTTAAATCCTGCCAAATGTCAGGCAGTTAACTTTACTTTCAAGCATCGACGTGACTTACTTGAACTAGTTAACTCTCATGATCCCTGTAGCATAGATAGCACTGAAATTGAAACCAAGTCAAGCATTAATTACCTTGGATTAGTTCTTTTCTTTGACCTTTCATGGTCATCCCATATCTTATCAATTTCTAAGAAAATGTTTCGTCTTACCTTCTACATCAAAAAGTTAAGACAATCAGATATCAACCAACCTTTACTTCTGCAGTTTGCAAACTCCTGTATTTTACCTATTGTACTCTATTGCTCTCCATTAATCTTTTCTGGGCTTCTCAAAAAAGACTATATCATATTACGAAGGGTATTAAGTGCTGTGAGTAAGGCTTTTGGTATGCCACTGCGTGAGCTCACCAATATTATAGTCGAGAGACACATAAATTCCTGTACAAAATGGGCAAAGGCCGTACTGTCAGACCCCCTGCACGCCTTTATCCACAACTATCCCCTTGAATCTCATCAGTTAGGACGAGAAGTCAATATAAGAAATTATAAGCTCGAACCACTAAGTACAAAAATTATACAATAGCCTATTTAACCCGTGTTTTATGTGATGATCACACTGTTAGACGTGATACATATAAGTTACTATGTAATTAGCAAACTGAATCAACCCTTTCATCGTTCATCTTTCTGTAATTTTATAGTGTCACCCTTTCTATCGTTTAATTATAACGTTTTTTACTTCCTTCACGTTCCCAATGAAACATAGGGTCTCAGGCTAGTGGCTTGAAGTTTCTGTAGCAGTGTTTAGTTTTACAGGATGAGGTTGCAAGCCTCATACCCAACCTTTCTTCTTCGCCAGCATCATTTCTGGCTTAACGAGGTGAGGGAGTGCGTCGGTAGCCGGGGATCGAACCCCGGACCATGTGCATGGTTGGCGAGAGTCTTAACCGCTGGCCACCGGGGCACTTAATTATAACTTAGGTATTTTAATTTGTTTGTTATTATTATCATTACTACAATTTTATACTTTATACACATTTTTC